ATTAGGATTCGCAAAGTTGGAGCAAAATCGGATTATCCTTTCTGTTTCTGTGCAATAAATTATTATACCCTCAGCCATATGGCTACAGAGGGTATATATCAGTGGACCGATATTGCACATCTCCGAACTCGATCTAAGTTTGACAATAATATTAAGATGTACCAACTTTGGAGCAAATCGGATACTCCCTTCGGGAGCTATCGTGCGCACCAGACATACAGACGGAGGGACGGACATCGCTACATCGACTCGAAATGCCCTGCAACGAAATTGGTGCAAAGAAACCTAGTGTCTAAATCCGTTATTTAGATGAGGCACGTTTTTTTGCGGTATCAAATGATATATACCCTCTGTAGCCGTATGGCTATATAAAAAACAATGAAAGAAGTGAAATTTTCCTAGAACAACAATACTAAGATGTAATAAGAAGAACAGATCCCATTTTGTGCGATCTCGAAATACCTTTAAAAAAACCAATTAATTTTTGATCTCAATAAATTCCAAACTTGTACTGGGAAGAAACAAATCCATTTTTGTTCTCAATAAACTAAAAAAAATATATGGAAATTGATATGAAAGTAACGAATCATTGGTGAAAATTACGATTTTTCGGTAAGCTGAAAAAATCAATTTTTCACAAATATTACTTTAGTATATTAGTATTATTAATTATTTTTTTAACTATATGTTTAAGTGTAATAAAATTGGCTGTGTATGCAAGAAAATTTTTTTATAGAATTCTTGAGTTCTATGTCATTATCGCCTTATTTTAGCAATTCACTTCGAAATATTCATGTATGCACCTCTTGGCAAAGAATGACAGCTTAATGTTATTGGGCCTGTTTATGCAAGACCGGCATGATAACCATAACCTAACGGAAGTCTCCGCTTTAACCAATTCATTTCAGATATTTTTTAATAAACATTTTACATCCACAAATTTCGGCCTGCTAAAAGTAAATAGGTGATCTCTGAACGATTTTTCGTTTTATTCGATTTCGGCTGGCGGGATTGTGACTTTACTGGTTGTTTTTTGCTTCCACGTGGTTACATGCTCTTTGTTGTTGGGCAAAATCTTAAAACTAATTACACTTCCTACCACAGCGCATGCGCAGGAGATTGCATAACCTAATAAGAAAATGAATATATGAACTAGTAATCGAGCTCTGTAATTGATCGATCACTCATTTGGTGAACAAGATTGACTGTCCGAGTTGAGACCCTTTTTTCAACGAATCGATCAGTCGAACTAGGTCATTCATGAATTAAATGTATATACCACACATATTAGAATGTTTGGTGTTTGTTAAGACTAGATCTCCGAAATTCTTGCTCGAATTCCAGTATAGAGATCGAATGCGAGTGGATGTACTCGTTCGAGCATAAATTCGCATTTTGTCAATCTACAAGTACGTTGGAGAGGATTGTCGCCACTCTATATATACTACTACAAAATGCGACAGTGTAGCTTCTTTTGTGGTTTTTGTGCACAAATCCACCAAGTCCTTACAACACACTCTTTTTTTATACCCTCAGCCAAACGTGCTTAGTCGAAATAACGGTTGCAGACCCTAGGTCTCTTGGGACCAAGTCCGTTTCAGGACATTTGGAGTCGATCTAGCGATGTCCGTCCGTCCGTCTGTCTGGCTGGCTGGTGCGCACGATAACTCTCAAAGGGAGTATCCGATTCGGTACAAACTTGGTACATCATAATATTTTTGTCAAACTTAGATCGACTTCAGAGTTCGGGCAAATCGGCCCACTCATTCTGGTACCTTCCCCACAAAAGGTCGAAATTTTCCAAAAAATATCCTAATATCTGCAGTGCTAGGTCAGTTGCGAAAACTGGCATTATCGGTTTACTCAATCAAGGGTCAACATTTTGAATAATTACAACTTTTATAGAATGTGTTTTAAGAGTCCGATTGTCTTCAAATTTCACAAATCCCAATATTTTTATTAACCCAAGATCTGGCGTTAAGACGGAATATATCGGTCAACTCCTTCTGGTACCTCCGCCACAAAAGGTCGAAATTTCAAAAAATATATTTCTTGCACAGAAATAGAAGCGATAATCCGATTTTTCTCCAACTTTGTAAATCCTAATATTTGACCTAGGTCAGGTGCAAAAACGATAATATCGGTCCACTCCATCAAGTACCTCCCCCACAAAGTGTAAAAATTTTTAATTTTTATAAAATCTGTTGCAAGAGTCCGATTGTCTTTAAATTTCACACATTGCAATATTTTCATAAACCCAAGATCTGGTGTGAAGATGGAATATATCGGTCCACTCCTTCTGTTACCTTTCCCAAAAAAACCTCGAAATTTTGAATAACCATTAAGCTCATAAAACGCGAAATTAATATTCGATTCCATTTAGACTTGCCACATCTGAATAGTTTTTATCAAAACAGGATCTGTAATAAAGAGGGTAGAGTTCGGGCCGTTCCTTCTGGTATCTCACCCACAAAAGGTCAAAATTTTGAATAACCAAAACGATCATAAAATCCGAAAAGAGCATGAGGTTCTCTTTATATTTCACATATACCGTTATTTCTACTAACACATGATCTGTTGTGAAGATGGGATTTATCCACTCCTTCTGGTATATGTGGATCTTCCTATCTCGCCGAGTTGAGTCGATCTAGCTATGTATGTCTGTCCGTCCGTCTGTCCATGTTAAATTGTAATCAATCTACAGGTCGCAATTATGGTCCGATCTTCACGAAATTGAAAATGGAGGTGGGGTTAGAGCCAGAATAAAAACCTATTTCTTTTGGAGATGATTGCATAATAAACTGAAACATTTCCTGATTTTGCAGTTGCTCTACAGGTCGCAATTATAGACCAATCGAAGTTAATATGGTACTAGAGCTTAGGGTTGGGCAGAGGCCTTCCAATTTTGATGGTCATCAGGTAATATTTAGTGGGTGAAATCGACCATAACAGGGAGGGTCCTCTTGCATTTGAAGATTATAGCAAAATATTTAGGGGTTCAGATGAACCAAAAACAGAAAAAAAATTTCTGATCACTCAATTGAAGCCAATCGACACGCCAGGGTAGAATTCTAGCATTTTGGAGGTGCGACGAGCTGCGTAAATATGTATTGGACAAATGTCCCTAGTAAAAATGCCAAGGGTAATATCTGGGCAGTGCTCCGTGACATCATTTCAAAAGCGAAATCTTCCAAAATGGATTTGGACATTAGGGGGGCTTCTAACACATCGTAGTGTTGTTGGGTATCATATGGTCGGCCGCGCACGGCTATAGCCTGTGCTTACTTGTTTTAATTGCCAATCACCGAGGGCGTATAGGAAATATATTGAACTTCTCTCTTCATAATTTCAAAGTAAAATCCTAAACAAATTTGAAATAAGTAATAAAATATAATAAAATTTATTTTTATTGTTCCATTTTCAGAATGAACGCAGACCTTGCGAAAATGGACAAACAAATAACAGAAAAGCTAGAGGCTTGGATGAAATATATACCATTTTTAGATTATATAAATTGGTTGACATTAAAAGATAAATTGTTAACGAAAAGAGGTAAGGGTTTCATTTAAAAATATTTATATTTTTTTTTAATTCCGTAAGTTTTCTTCAAGATTCCGCAATTTATGTACAGGGTGAGGTAAAAAAAAAAACTGTAACAAAATCAAATGCCATAATTTTTATACTTTTATTTTTAATTTTATTGAATGAAAGCAAAAATATCGGAAATAGCATCAAATTTTGGAATAAGTTTATATTTATTCGAATTGGTCGCCTTTGGCACGAATTATGGCCTTCAAAAGGTCAATGAAACCATTACACGCTGCCCGAATGTTGCTCTGCGGCATTTTGGCCCATTTCCGGCGAATCGCTTGCTTAAGGTGATCGACACTTTGGTCTTTTTTAGTGCCAACCTTGTTTTTCAAAATACTCCAGACACAATGGTCCAACGGATTGGTATCCGGAGATTTTGCTGGCCATTGTGGGCTGGAAATGAAGCGAGGAACCTCATTTTTGTAACCATTCTTGGGTGGCACGTGCTGAGTGCGATGGTGCTGAGTCCTGTTGACCAAGGTCTGCGGCCAAAATGTTTGCGTGCCCAAGGCTTTAATACAGCCTCCAGAATATTTTCGCGACAATTTCGGAATTTATTCTGATGCCACGGTCTTTTAATACGAGCGGAGAGCGATGGCCGGCGCTTGAGTTCTGGTGGCCAACCGAAGGTGCACATTTTCAGCTGACCTCTTTGGCAAGTAAACATGATCATTTTGTTTGTTTACAAACTGCTGGACAACGAATGTTTTCCCATCGGAGAGGGAGAAAAACAAATTCGGCAGTTCACCACTTTCGTCCAAGCGAAGCACCTTTTTAGCTCTTTTGAGTCTATTTTCTTTCTGTTGCGGTGTAAGTTCTTGCACTTTTTACAACTTCAATGGCTTTACTCGGAGCTAATTTTTCAATATTTACCGAATGGAATATTGCGATATGTTCGGCTCACAAGCCAATTTTTCGCCACTGCAACTCTGGTTTCGATTAAGTCGCTTGTTTACTTTTCGAACCATTTCTGCTGATGTTGCTATTTTCTTCGTCCATCCACTTCCTTGACTTCGGGCTACGCTACCAGTATCACGGTAACGAGCGATGGTACGAGACACCAAGAGATTTATTCACATTTAAATGCTGGAGGGCTCCAACGACAGCCACTTGAGGGTTTCCAGCCAAATATAAAGAAATCAAACTATCACGCTTGAATTCCATCACGAATAACTTTTTTTCTGGAAAATTCTCATCAAAATGCTTTTGTACGAATGTAAACAATATAAGGAGCTGTCACTGAAATAATTTTAACAGCTGTCGGACGAGTGGCTTAGAAATGACAGCAGTCTGAAGTTGGTTGCAGGGTTTTTCATCTCAACCTGTATATGTGTTGCAACACTCTTTACAATAAACTTACATTAGATATTAATATTGAATAAGTAATATTTTTATTTGAATATTTTCAGATATCCAATTAATGATTTAAAGAAAATCCAACAATCCATCATAACACAGTACAAAAATCTGCTTGTAATGGACGACAAGGTAAGGAGGCAGAAATACAAATATAACCAAATATTATGATGATCGTTTTAATTTTTCATTTTCAGAAAGTTCCTGCCGAAATAATCAACATTTCCAGTGAAGAACTTAATGCTGAGTTCATTAATCTTTGTTCAGACGTTGGGGGTGAAGAGGAGGAGGAGGATGAGGCTAAGGATAAGAAACAACAAACATGTACAACCTCCAGAAGGCAAGAAAACCCAAACTCCTCAAAGCAGGCAGATAAAGAAACTGATATAAAACCAAACACCTCAAAGAAAGCAGATAAAGAATCAGCTAAAAGGCCTTCAGAAGCTTCGAAAGCAACGGAAATCAGACTTGAAAGTGATGATGATTTGGAAAAAATATGTGTTTCATATCCAACTTCAACGGCCGACAAGGCCAAACAGCCAAAGAATAATGTCAAAGGAAAGACAAATGAAGAAGAAGAAGAATCATCTAAAGCCAAAAATCTGGATGATGTTACAAAGAACCTATTGGATCAAATAGATATGATCTGTGGTGAAGGTAATTTGGATAAAACAGGCGAAAAATCACCAACAATTTGTCAGGAAAACATCAGCAACGAAAACAGTGGATTCTCCTCGAAAATAAGTCCTGCGAAGAGGCAAAATAATAAAACTGAAGCACCAACTGCGGATACAATTTCTTTAGACGCTTCAAGTGATGACGAAGAGGTTAACGCCAATCTAATTAAAGAAACTGTAAAGAAAGTATCCCAGCAGCAACTAGGCGCAGAGACGCCAAGTCCCGTGCTAGAGGAGAAACCACGTTCAAATGTTCGAAAATCTGTTGAAAACCATAACCAAACTGATGATCACAATAAAACTGTTCCCAGTCCTCCAGCTGCGACAAATGCAGTTGAAGAGGAAACTAAGTCCCCAACCGATCCAACAATAATTTCAGCCCATAATGGCATTAGCCTAAAAAGCCTGCACAATTCTAATTGCGAAAATCTTCAGGCCGAACATCAACGTAAAGAAGAAGAAGACAAAAAGCGAGAGGATTTAGACAAACCTACATTTGAGGATATCGAAAAACGTAATAGCCTTAAATCCACGGAGAAAATACGTTCGATTCTGCTGAGTATCCTACAGCCAAGTGAAATAGATGCTTTAAGAGATTCCTTTAAAAATACCCAGAAGAACAGCTCTGAAACGGAAAGTGAAACAAATTATGGCAAACAAAATTCCCCCAAATGTGTGGACAATGAGAATACCAAGTCCTTATTGGACGGCCATCAAAAAATTACAAACTTGGAAGTCCGGGAAAAATTACCCAATGGCATGGAAATAGATAATAAGTCACCACCACCACAATCCTCAGAGAGCCTAAACGGAAAGGTAATAGATTGCCACAACACCGAAGAGGAAGACCAAAGAACTACTCCCACCAAGAAATCTTCGAAAGCTAAAAAATCCAAAAAAGCAAAATCCTCCCGGCCATCATCCTCGCCTGGTGGCAACAGAAAAGTTGATATTACCCGCAAAATGAATCAGGTCTACAGGGAATTAGAATGTACGTTTAAGGGTTTCGATCAAATAATGAATTATGAGCCCAAAGCAATTGACGGCAAGCGACGTTCCAGTGTACATTCCCGTTCAGTTATTTCGGAACAATTAAATGTAGATGAAGAACCCACAACATCCTTCCAACTGAGAAAACGCCGCAAAACCATTGGCAATGAGAATACCAAGTCCTTCTTGGACGGCCATCAAAAAATTACAGACTTGGAAGTCTCGGAAAAATTATCCAATGGCATGGAAATAGCTAATAAGTCACCACCCCCACAATCCTCAGAAGGCCTAAACGGAAAGGTAATAGATTGCCACACCACCAAAGAGGAACACCAAAAAACTACTCCCACCAAGAAATCATCGAAAGCTAAAAAATCCAAGAAAGCAAAATCCTCTCGGCCATCATCCTCACCTGGTGGCAACAGAAAAGTTGATATTACCCGCAAAATGAATCAGGTCTACAGGGAATTAGAATGTACGTTTAAGGGCTTCGATCAAATAATGAATTATGAGCCCAAAGCAATTGACGGCAAGCGACGTTCCAGTGTACATACCCGTTCATTTATTTCGGAACAATTAAATGTAGATGAAGAACCCACAACATCCTTCCAACTGAGAAAACGCCGCAAAACCATTGGCAATGAGAATACCAAGTCCTTATTGGACGGCCATCAAAAAATTACAGACTTGGAAGTCCGGGAAAAATTACCCAATGGCATGGAAATAAATAATAAGTCACCACCACCACAATCTTCAGAGAGCCTCAACGGAAAGGTAATAGATTGCCACACCACCAAAGAGGAACACCAAAGAACTACTCCCGCCAAGAAATCATCGAAAGCTAAAAAATCCAAGAAAGCAAAATCCTTCCGGCCATCATCCTCACCTGGTGGCAACAGAAAAGATGATATTACCCGCAAAATGAATCAGGTCTACAGGGAATTAGAATGTACGTTTAAGGGCTTCGATCAAATAATGAATTATGAGCCCAAAGCAATTGACGGCAAGCGACGTTCCAGTGTACATACCCGTTCAGTTATCTCGGAACAATTAAATGTAGATGAAGAACCCACAACATCCTTCCAACTGAGAAAACGCCGCAAGACCATTGAAAATGAGAATACCAAGTCCTTATTGGACGGCCATCAAAAAATTACAGACTTGGAAATCTCGGAAAAATTATCCAATGGCATGGAAATAGCTAATAAGTCACCACCCCCACAAACCTCAGAAGGTCTAAAAGAAAAGGTAATAGATTGCCACAACACCGAAGAGGAAGACCAAAGAACTACTCCCGCCAAGAAATCATCGAAAGCTAAAAAATCCAAGAAAGCAAAATCCTTCCGGCCATCATCCTCACCTGGTGGCAACAGAAAAGTTGATATTACCCGCAAAATGAATCAGGTCTACAGGGAATTAGAATGTACGTTTAAGGGCTTCGATCAAATAATGAATTATGAGCCCAAAGCAATTGACGGCAAGCGACGTTCCAGGGTACATTCCCGTTCAGTTATCTCGGAACAATTAAATGTAGATGAAGAACCCACAACATCCTTCCAACTGAGAAAATGCTGCAAGACCATTGATACCCAAAAACGGCACTCAAGCAATGCCATTGCCCATCAGTTAAGTTCTCAGGAAGACAATGGTGATGCTAGAGCAGATATGCTGCAAGAGAGTAGGAAAACCACTGAGGGGAATTTTCACAATACCTTGGATGTAGATGGAGATGATTGCAATCATAGAATAAGATACTCCAGTTCGAATGATGGTGAAACACAAACAATAATACCCCTTAAGGTTCCCAAGATTATCTTGAAACGTTTAACCCAAAAAGTAACCGAAAAATACGCCATAGTCCAGAAGCCTATCGAAAATAATGGAGATTCCGTATTGGACACAAGTAATCTAAAGGTTCAATCAATTCCAACATCCACAAAGCATGTGACACTATCAACGTCGGCCAATCGAAAACCTCTGCCACAAATTCTAAACAATGACAGTCAGATGTTTGAAAAAAATACCAGAATTTGTGTCCTGTGCAATGGCAAGTCGCCGGATTTGACAAATCATTTTGTAGGAAAACATAAAACAGAATCCTATGTTGCCCGCCTATCATGGTCCCAGCTAGAGGAATTGCTGTTAAATACACAATTCGCCACAGCAGTCGGCGGTGGCAAACTATCGAGCGCACTGCCCCAGTACTCGATTAAATGTCAATTTTGCGAAACCCAAATCAAGGGGAAATTCCATCAGTTTTACGACCACTATTCGAGACACACTGGCGAATTTGCATACCAATGTGGCCAATGTAAGTACAGCCGTTCCCATAGGGAATTTATCACTACACATCAGCTGAATAAGAAGAGGTGTAGCAATGCAAAAACCCAAATCCTGTATCGTTACAAAGCGGATGCCCGAGTTATTTACCTGTACTACTGTAACATTTGTAATTTTGTGCAATTGAATGAGGCGAATATCTTCAAGCATCTAAGGGAGCATCACGATCCGCGACAGGCAACACAGGATAATGTCAAGAAATGTATATTGGCAGCCATAAGTGATGGTCCAGAGAGCAGTAATGCCATCGAACGTCAGGATTCTCCAGTGCCTGCCGCAGCAGCAGCAGCAGAAACAACACCCAGTGAGGGTGAAGTTCCTAAAATTGAAACAAACCTGAAATTAATGGATGATAACATACTTGTGTGTAATGAGCCCTGTATGGATGGGGAAGAGGCGGCGACTGCGGCAGAGGAGAATTATGACTTGGCCACATGTGCCCTAGATGAACAATTGAAACAAATGCATGAAGATCTACAGGCGCCTCCGACTCCGCCCATGACCACTATACATTTAAATTCTAATCCCGTACCAGCTATCAGTAATCGTTTGAAACCTTTTGCAATTAAACCAGAGCCAGAGCCCATGAACGACGATGAAGATAATCAATCGATAACACCACCACCATCACATCCACCACAACAATATATAGATCAGAGTGGCATTAGTCCTCCATACAGACTTTCGTATCGTTGCTATCCAATACATGTCAAATATCTGGGCCTATTCAAGTGTCTAACCGACGATTGTTATTTTTCCACGGATTGCCCGAAGGAATTTCAACACCACTTGCAATCTCATACAGATGAAAGCCTATGTCTGCAGTGTGCCTATTGTTCGTTCCAAGGGCAGATATCTTCAATTGAAACATTAATTGGACATATTCAAAACGATCACAGTCGTATGCTGTTCCAATGTTCGGAATGCTGTTATCGTAGCATCGATGGCTGTAATGTATTGGTACATCAAAGGGAAAAACATTGCAGTGGACTCGATGGAAATGAGTCGCTTAAAGTATTCAAGTGTCACGGTGAGGAAACGGCATTTTGTGAAGAGAGTAGCCGAGAAAAATTGAAAATGAATGCTCCAAAAATTCAATGTGAATGTAAGTATTAAATAACAAGTAAAAGGGTATCGATCGGTCGGTTTTGCCTACCGATGTATACCCTCAACCAATGTTCGATTATTTTCAAATATTTTGACTTCTGTTATGATTATTCAAATGTTTAACCCCTTATGCAGTAGGTTCCGAGGAATGGGCCAATATTGGCCATTTCGTATCGGACTTAAATAAATATAATATAACTTAATGGAAATTTTGAGATTTACCAAGTCTTGAATAGAATCGGATGTTAATTTCGCTTTTTATGAGCTTCATGGATATTCAAAATTTTGAGCCTTTGTGGGGGAGGTACCAGAAGAAGTGGACCGAAATATTCCATCTTCAAAACGGATCTTTTGTTAGTGGAAATGATGAGATGTGTGAAATATAAAGAGAACCTGATGCTTATTTCGTATTTTATAAACGTTTTGGTTATTCAAAACTTTGACCTTTTGTGGGGGAGGTACTAGGAGGAATGGTTCGATCTCTACCGTTTTTTTTTTTTTTTTAACAGATCCAGTGTCAATAGAAATATTCGAATGTATCATTGTATGTATCAGTCTAAATGGAATCCGATAGTAATTTCGCGTTTTATGAGCTTCATGGATATTCAATATTTTGAGCATTTGTGAGGGAGGTTCCAGAAGGAGCTGACCGATATTGTCAATTTTCGCACCAGACCTAGCACTGACGCAAATATTAGGATATGCAAAGTTGAAGCAAAATCGGATTATCGGTTTTCTTTCAGTGCAAAATATATGTATTTTTTGAAAATTTCGACCTTTTGTGGGAGAGGTACCAGAAGGAGTGGACCGATATTGTCCATCTTAATATCAGAACTTGGGTTAATATAAATATTGGGATGTGCGAAATTTCAAGACAATCGGACTCTTACATCACATTTTATGAGAGTTGTAATTATTCAAATGTTGACCATTTGTGGGAGAGGTACTCAATGGAGTGGACCGATAAAGTCCATTTTCACACCTGACCTAGCACTGACTCAAATATTAGGATGTACAAAGTTGGAGCAAAATCGGATTATTATTTCTTTTTCTATGCAAAAACCTTATTTTTTGAAAATTTCGACCATTTGTGGAGGAGGTACCAGAATGAGTGGACCGATATCGCCCATTTCCGAACTCGATGTAAGTTTGACAATCATATTACGATGGACGGACGGAGGAACATCGCTAGATCGACTCCAAATGTCCTGAAACGGATTTGGTCCAAAGGGACCTAGGGTCTAAAACCATTATTTCGACTAGGCACGTTGTGACCGTGTCAAATGATATCTACCCTCTGTAGCCATGTGGCTGAGGGTATAAAAATCTTGAACCCTATGTAGGAGAGGTACCATAAGAAATGATCCAATCTCTACCATCTTAATAACAAACCTTGTGTTTATGGAGAAATTGAGATGTGCCAAGTCTGAATGGAATCGGATGTTACTTTCGGTTTTATGAGCTCCATGGATATTCAAAATTTCGACCCTTTGTGGGGGGAGGTTCTTGATGGAGTGGGCCGAAATTGTCCATTTTCGCACCTGATCTAGCACTGACGCAAATATTAGGATTTGCAAAGTTGGAGCAAAATAGGATTATAGTTACTCTTTCTGTGCAGAATATATATATATATATATATATATATATATATATATATATATATAGTCCACCATATGTATATATCTGCACAGGGTGAGATAAAAAAACTGCAATTTTCATATGTTGTTTAAATTTTATTGAATGAAAGCAAAAAAAATATTTGAAATAGCATCAAATTTTAGAAAAAGTTTAGATTTGTTCGAATTGGTCACCATTGGCACGAATTATGGCCTTCAAAATGGCCAATGAAACCGTCACACGCTGCCCGAATTTTGCTCTGCGGTATTTTGGCCCATTCCCGGCGAAATGGTATTTGTTAGTGCCAACCTTGCTTTCCAAAATACTCCAGACACAATAGTCCAACGGATTGGTATCAGGAGATTTTGGTGGGCTGGAAATGAAGCGAGGTACCTCATTTTGTAACCATTCTTGGGTGGCGTGTGCTGAGTGCGATGGTACTGAGTCCTGTTGGAATGTCCAAGGTCTGGGGTCAAAATGTTTGCGTGCCGAAGGCTTTAATGCACCCTCCAGATATTCGGAATTTATTCTGATGCCACGATCGATTAATACGAGCGGAGAGCGACCACCGGCTGTTATGGCGCACATTTCATCTGACCTCTTTGGCAAGTGAATACGATCATTTTGTTTGTTTACAAACTGCTGGGCAACGAATGTTTTCGCATCGGAGAAAACCAAATCCGGCAGTTCTCCACTTTCGGCCAAGCGAAGCAACTCTTTAGCTCTTTTTAGTCTATTTTCTTTCTGTTGCGGTGTAAGTTCTTGCACTTTTTGGAATTTCAATGGCTTTACCCCGAATTTTTCAATATTTGCTGAATGGAATATTGCGATATGTTCAGCTCACGAGCCATTTTTAGGCCACGGCGACGCGGGTTTCGATCAAGTCGCTTCTTTACTCTTCTAACCATGCTGCTGATGTTGCTGTTTTCTTCCGTTCACCTCCTTAACGTCGGGCTACGCTACCAGTATCACGGTAACGAGGGATGGTACGAGTCACAAAAGATTTATTCACATTTAAATGCTGGAGTGCTCTGACGATAGTCACTTGTGATTTTCCAGCCAAATATAAAGAAATCACACTATCACGCTTGAATTCCATCACGAAGAACTTTTTTTCTGGAAAATTTTGACCAAAATGCTTATGTACGCTTGTAAACTATATAATTAGCTGTCACTGGAATAACTTTAACAGCTGTCGGACGAGTGGCTTAGAAATGACAGCAGTCTGAAGTTGGTTGCAGGTTTTTTATCTCACCTTGTATATTCATTATCGGCGTAAAACGAATCCCATTGATCCATGTTCGTCCGTCTGTTGTAATCTCGCTAACTCCCAAAGGAATTGAGAAAGAGTACTGATATTTAATACACATGCGTTTTGAGTCTGAACTTCGAAGATGAGCCAACTTTTTTTGTAAAGCCCCCATCAAGGATACCCCCTCATTTTGAGAATTTTGACGATTTTCTGCACATTACCAACTGAATTGAATGGAATTTGATAATTAAATATATCTAAACTATTTGCAAAAAAAAAAACAGTAAAGAAAGTCTTAAAGTCAGGCGGGCCGAGTTTATGATACCCTACACCCTTTGCATGTTAAGTAGAGCTTCACACAACATATAAAAGTTTTTGTGGGGAATTTGTGAGAATTTAGTCATACCAACTATGATTATAGTTTTGACTTAAAGTCCAAAGGCACTAATATATGAGAGGAATATAATTCTCAGAATCAACTTCTACTAAATTTGCCGACGCATTTGTGCCTTTTCAATTCGGTCTTGTATTACCCATTTGGTGCACAAGTAACTTAAAATCGGATAAGAACATATATGGGTATATCTATATACCCATATATATATCGAAAATCTGATCCGATCTCGATAAAATTTGCTAAAAGTATTTCTGAACCGTATTTGATATTTTTCCACGAATATCGTTGTTACGGAGTGTAGATTACGGGTGTGGAGAACAAATATAACAAATCGGATGAAAAATATATATGGGAGCTATAGTTATATCTGAACCGATTTTCACCTAATTTGACATACTTTTTTCTAGGCTCTATGTGGTCGTAAGTGCCGAATTCCATCTGATTTAGGCTGATATTACACGTTTGGTGCACAGTAAAAGGCAAATCGGACGAAGATATTTAGGTATGGCAGTTATATCAAAATCTGAACTGATCTCCATAAAATTTGGCAAAGGTATTTCTGAGCGGTATTTGATACATTTTCCCAAATATCGTTGTTACAGAGTGCATATTAATGCTGCGGAGGACAAAAATAGCAAATCGGATGGACAATATATATATATATCGGAACTATAGCTGTATCTGAACCAATTTCGATCAAATTTGGCATACTTATTTCCAGGTTTAATTTGGTTGTAGGTGCAAAATTCCATGATATTTGGGCTGATATTACACTTTTGGTGCCCTATAAAAGGCAAATCGGACGAAGATATTAATTAAACAATTATTTAATATATTTTATTTTTTTAAAAAGACCGGAGCGGTTGTTACCCCGCTTGTTTATTATGAAATCAAATTTGTAACTGATTAACTTAACTAACTTAACTCTAAATGTCACCTACGGAATTATTATTATTTATGCTGACTTTGTATTTCCCACGATCACGCCACTGATATTTGATGATTGTGTAAAAGTGTTATTATTTCGGGTGGCGTGTGTTATGCTGGTTTGCTCGCGTTGTAACTGGATCTGCTGTTATGGCATTGGGTTGGAAATGTTGGTTTGCTCGTGTTTTTAATTTACAAAAATACATGGACAGACAGACGGACGGACGGATATGCATAAATCGACTCAGAATGTGATTCTATACAGATCATCAAAGGAAACCATGGGTCCATCTCTTTCCCTTATGCCTGTTACAAACAAATCCACAAAGACATACCACCTTGTGGTGTAGGGCGTAAAGAGTTAATATAGGCCCACATGGTGTTATAGCCCCCATATAACGTTACCTCCTCTGTTTAAATATTTCCACGATTTTCGAGACATTTTTCAACGGAATTGTCTGGAATTTAATACTTAAAGGTTGTTACGGTTTCCTAACACTTTTTCAAAGAAACTTTAATATAAGTTCACGTTGTGGTATAGCCCCCATATAACGGTACTCCCATATTTGAAACATTTCGACGACATTCCGGACATTTTCAACGGAATTGTCTGGAATTTTGTATTCCAAGTCTGTAATGGTCCTTATTTTGACTTTGCATATATCAAAGTGGAGGGTATCAAAACGGGATTAGTATCCAATGTAATTTGTTGTCTTATTTTCAGACTGTCGCCAACACTCGTTCTACAATTCCAATTTTTTGAAGCAACACATGCTAAACGAACACAAAATACAAAAGCACCCGAAATACTATTCGTGTTTATACTGTACGTTTAAAGCCAACGATGATGACGTGCTGCGGAAGCACTTGGCTCTATGTCATCCAAATGAATTTGCCTTTATTCGTGATCACAATAGCGCTGAAACATCACAAGAGGTAGGTCTTTTTGTTCGTAATTTTTATTAAAATATATTTATTGTTTTCTTTTTCCCCTCCAGGATTCAGTGGAGCAGCTGCACTTGCTACAACTAAGCGAACCGATTACAAGTCTAATTGATTACAGCAAAACCGATGCCATTGAAGATGTTAAACCAAACGCCGACGAACTATTGAAATGCCAAGAAGAAACCCTAAAGATACGTCTAAGAAAATTAACAGAAAAAACTGGCATAGCACCTGATTGTTTGTATCGTTGTCCCGAACAATCATGTGGTGGTTTCTTTTCCATCTATGATCTATGGTTAAGCCATATGAGAGCGAAACACTGCTGTTTCGAGTGTGCATGTCCACATTGTCCCGGCGAAAAACTGTTACCGTTAGAGGAACTTAAAACACATTTCGAAAATCATCGCCGTCATCTCTATCTTTGTTATCATTGTCCCCTTACCTTTGCAAGCAATGAGGAGGCGATGGCCCATGTTTCTAGCACAGGGCATGTACATTCGTACGGTGCAATGCGTTCTGAGAGAATACGTTTTAATTTAAGTTATTCCTATTTTATTTTCCTCCCATTGGATAAGTTAAAAGAGCGCGCAGAATTTATACCAAATATCTTAAATTTGTTAGATGAACGTCTACGCGAACTGGAATCTAGGGAGTCGAAGAGTTTTAAAAATAGCTGGCTGATACCCACGGAGGATAGTCCGAACTGGTTGGAAGATTTTCCCACAGATATTTGTCGCAAATTAAAAAAGAAATGTTTCAATGGAAAGTGTGACTTTCAAGCCATCGAAGCGGCGGAACTGTTTCAACATGTTCGTGAAAAACACAAAATCTCTGGTTCAACATTTAGTTGCCGCGAATGTGACTTTAACATTGTCAATTGTCAACACTGGGATGATATCCTGGCCCACATGTACCAACATTTCGATAGCACATTCTTTATATGCGGTGCCTGTTCCGCCTACTTTTACAATCACTCAAACATGGCAAACCACATACGAGAAAAACATGATTGTCGCGATGTACCGCTTATAAATTTAAGACAAGTCGAAAAACAAATCTGTATCCGGCTGGCCATTGTGTTTGCCAGCAAATGTCTATCGTTTAGTACGATGCGCAATTGTTTCTGTTGCGAAGAGAAGGGCATGAAGGGCGATGCGTATATTTTGCATTTGAAACGTTATCACAAATTCTCGCTGCAATATTTTTGTGAGTGGTGTAATTTACCCATTGAATCACTGCAATTGGTGAAGGAGCATTTCAGTAAAGTCCATAGAGTCAATACATTGAAAATCCGTTGTGAACTGGCTTCGAAGTATAATATAAAAGTTAAGTCCGTAAGTAACTTTGAGCTGGACATTGATGCCAGAGAAGAAGTGGTGCAGCAGCAACCAATGGGGCAAATAAAACAAGAATCTGAGCAAATAATAGAAAATGATGATAGCGTTGTAATTTTAGATGATGATGACATTATTGTTGAGAATCATGTAAAAGATCAGGAAAAAATGGAACAGGAAAATAAACTTATATTAAAATGCATTGCCATGGACAGTTTGAAAGAGAAGACAATGCCGCAGGCTTTTTCCCCCGTACAAATGTCAACCCAAAATTCCAATATACCCCTAACTACGGAATGTGTCAATTGTGTCTCACATTTAAACAATCTTCAAATGTCTCCAGCAATCAACCAGCCATACAACATTCCCAGCTTTTCCCATCCGCAATCTGTAATATCCCAAAACTGCAATGTCCCAATATGTATGGCATATAGTCAGGCCAATGCACCACTACATGCCGGACAAATTGGCTCTAGGAATATATTACATAGTGTCCCGCCCAATTCCCATGTAAATATTTCCAACATACAATCGATGTCCAATAGTGTACCACAAAAATCACACAACATTCGGCAACAACATATTCCCCGAATGCCCGCAAATCAGCCACCAACAACGGCAGCCGCCACACATCCAATACCATATTATTCAAATAACAATTTTCCACATCAACCCACTCAACAACAAGTTGAATATTCTACAAATCATTTTATCTATGCCGCAAACGCCACAGCGGACAATTCTTCAAATCAATTTTCTGATAATCATATAACCTATCAAACCACTACCCATTACAATCCAACATCTCTCAATTCAAATCCACAATATTCTTGTCCCACCTACACCACCTCTCCTAACGTTACACAAATGTCTACTACAACAGTCAACAATGCTGGACCGTATCATAATTATCCACCAAACCATTTCCAAACAAATGACTACGTTCCAAATACGCTTGTGGTCAATCGACAACAACAATTTTATCCTGGCCATCACACTTCATTCCCGTAGACCACAAATTCGGGAGGAAAGCTCCCAAAAATAGAATACTACAGTTTTTTATCGATTCCGGCTCGAACAAAAATTTCTGTAGCCAACACACACGTCTGTCGGAAGTATACCCTTAGATAAACCTCTTATAGTTAATACGGCAGGTGGAGAAATTAAGATAACCAGAAAAATAACAGGACATTTGCTTTTAGGTTTGGAATATTAGATAATAATACGTTTTATATTTTGGACTAAAGACATTTGATGGAATCACAGATGACGACTGCCTCAAGGAACTCAATGCATTCGTAGATAGGAAAGAGAAAATTCTTCACATTAGGAATACTATAGAAATACCTCTAAAGGCTAAATTCAGCAACTCTCTAAATTATGTAAGGAATTAAGAAGGAATTAACCAACTTCTAAAACAATATTAAACTGAAGAAGCATATGCAGCAAACGAGAAAGAGATGCTAGCTAACGTATGGGCACTTGATAATCTGCGGAATAATTTATACGGTGCTTAAAGTACAGACCATCAACTTCTTACCTGCGCATTGGGTAATAGGAACTTTAACTCTAAGTTAAAACAATGGAAAGCACGTTTAGAAGACTATAATCACAAGCCTGGTATATCAAACTTTGTCTCCGATGTCAACCATATCAGTGAGATATCCACGGAAACCGTGTGATTCGGAATCTACAAGAACAGCATCAGAAGGTACAGTAACAACTTCAGAGATCGGAAACGAGTAAATTAAATCCACAGGTTCAACGTCTCACAGCGCGTATCAGGATGCTACCGACTTTATACCCCACATGGAAGTCCCAATTAACGTTTTCCGAAACCAGATAATTATACAAAATGGAGCGGAACTTCAATCTAATGAAACATCACACAAGAATTTCATACGCCATTATATTTCGTCTCGTGAATGGAACCGAGAGACACTACTGTAAAAGTTAAAATAATTATGGCACCCATGAATGGTTAACCCTTAACTACAGACGTCAAATTATACGAACGTTAGTACAGACCACCGGTAATTTTTACCGGTTATATAAAACACATAAAATTTCTGTAAAACAATTGAAAAATTTGTTTAATATATATCTGTTATATATTTTTTGTATATGAAGATCTTGAAAAAGTTTTAAAACTATTTACTTTAATAAAACCACACAAAAATTTGTTAAAACAAAATATATTCAGTTATCCCCGAAATTGAAAAATCGTAAATTATTACCGGTAAAAAATACCAGTCATCTGTAGTTAAGGGTTAATGGAATGCAAAACAATCAAAGTTCCAGAGAGTTATTTGTCAATATTACAAAGACTTTATGTAGAACATTTTTCAAAATATGAGATCAGAATAGCCCAGAAAAAAGTTACCGACATTAGTTGAGAAAACCGACAATTCCAAATAGTTACAGAAGAGCCCATCGGAATGCCAAGGAAAATAAGCAACAGATATTAGAGAAATATTATTTTCCTCACACGTTTGCATACATCCGGAAGTTCGTGGCAAATTGTAATATTTGCAACACCAATAAATTTGACAGAAATCCCACAAGACCACAATTTCAGAAAACACCCATACCCACGATCTCTCGCGAGATTTTACGTATGGAAATCGTTGAAATTCAAGGTCACAAAAGTGTATATCAATACTAGACACATTTGCAAAATTTGCTCAGGTATTTCACATCAGTTACAGGTTAGAGAAAAACTCGTGAAAATATTACATATTTTACCGCTTCGAAAATTCTGGTTACCGATAATGAAAGTAGTTTCATATGCCCATTAATTAGAGATTTTCTAGAAAGGTTTGAAATAAAAATATACTTAACTCCGTGACAACGCAGCGAAGTAAAAGGCCACGTGGAGCGATTTCATCCAACGCTTCTTGGAATTTACAGATGTATAAAGACAGAAAAACCGGAACTTTGTTTTCTTGAACTTACATACGTTGCGATGGATAGGTTCAGCTACAAGAAAAAGACCGAAAGGTATCAGATTTTGGCAAATTAATAGAGGCAAGTTCTAGCATAAACAGAGACCTTAGGAATCTTATAAAGAGAAATGCAAAATAACAGAACAAACGAATAAACATGAGACGTTCCTCACCGAAAAAAAAATTTAAGAAGAGTGATGTGCCTTTTGTAAGATAAAAGCTAAAAATAAGCCAGTTTACAGGAAAGAGATCGTGGAAAAGGATAATAAGGTCGCAGTTTGTAGTGGAGAAAGAATACACACATGCACACATTAAACATTTAAAAAAAATTAGTTAATAATGAAAAACCCCCCAATACCTTTCAATTGATTTCAAAAAAAAATTAAAAAGAAGATTATGTTAATATGTATGTTAGAAAATTCTTACTATACAAAAAATATTTGAATGTATACGCAAAAGTCTCATTTATCAATTTACTCAATAAATCAATTAATAAAATATAATATACAAATTATACTAACCAAAAACAGGGGTCTTTGCCTTCCTACTAACCCCTATTACCATAAACAACAGAAATTGCTACATTACAGAGACATGCTTTTACGAAAAACCTTCATTTTCCTGGCAGGATTTGTCATAAAATGTATCAGTATGACGTACCCTTAGTAACCATTCGAGTGAGAAATGTATGGATTATAGACGGAAACTCCAAGCTGGTTCATGTAATAAACCTGGATCGGCTCAGCGTCGAAATGGGTAGCCGGAAACTCAGATGCAGCAGATTGGAATAATGTTCGAAAAAGTCAAGATTCTATTGTCAGATGATAATAATGAACAGTACAAAGTCAACTTTATAAATTCAACGAGAGAAGTAATTCGGAACCAACCAACAAACTCGTTGACTCCATTATGAAGATAAGCAGAGGCGGAAAAAACGAGCACCAAATCATTGTCCTGAATGCTGTCCTCAAGAAGATAGTTAGGACAAGCCAACTGAAAACAAGTAAAAATCATTAAGTTTGGCCGGGCCGAACTTTTAATAACCTCCACCTTAGGGTAATGAAACATTAGAACCAATTATGACCCACAAATACTGTAAAGTAGAATAGAGTCCACTCTCCCTCTTCGATTGTCAACTCTATTCTGTTTTTGATGAGAAAAGAAACACGACCGAATGGTTTGGCTGTTGATTCAATTCTAATTTTATTTCTAAAATATGTTCCTTACGTACTACTGAAACTAATCTAACTTAACCTAGTCGCAGCCACACAATTGTTCTTATCTATTCTAATATTGAATGGAGAACATTGCAGGGCTGCTTGGCATCTCATTCAAGTGGTCTTGTGCATCTACTGAGCGCATCGATATATATGCGTGTGGGTCATAACCTTTATTATCTCACGCATTATCGTATGCGTCAGCGCACAAGATCACCGAATTCTTCACATGTGATATTTTATGGCGGCTGGGAAATATTTAATTTTAGAACACTTATCTTTTATTGCTACATTTTCCCAGCGCCTCAATTGCACTCAAAAATATGTAGAAAGTATTTTGTACAAATTCCAATTTTTAGACAAACCATTGAAAAAATGTGACAAAAACCATCAAAATACCGAATATCGGGAGATACCGTTATATGGAGGCAATACAAAAACGTGGACTTATACATGCAATGTTTTGCCACCGGAGCTAGAACCCACTATGCCCAACAAATACCAATTTTTAGACAAATCCATTAAAAAATGCGGCAAAAATCAATAAAATACCGAATATCGGGAGGTACCGTTATATGGGGACTATACCAAAACTTGCATCGATATATGTCATTTTCAATACCAACCTAATCCTAGACACTATACAAATTATTCTGCCAAATTTTGACGCTCTACGTCAAATAATGTGGCCTGTATCGTGATTTCAACAGACAGACAGACGGACGTCGTTAAATCGACTTAGAATATTATGCTGACTATAAATATATATACTTTATGGCGTCTACGACGAATATTTAGACATGTTACAAACGAAATGACAAAGTTAATATACCCTCCTTTCCAAGGAGGAGGGTATAAAAATGGCATTATTAACACCAATCTTTTGGACAAAGGCGCAGTCAATGCTATCATAAATCAATCACCATTAATTTATACAAATGGATTCGCGGAATTATAAGTGGTGTCCACACCGATATTAAGAAAAGACCTTTAGCATCGACTCATGACTAGACATGCCGCAATTACGAAGGGAAAACACATTCAAGTACCACTTAACGAAGTTATTATTAATGAAGCCGAATCTTATGGAATTACTATCCCTTGCCTAAAATTTATAATTCAATGGTTTTCCGACAATCTTCCCTAAAAAAATTAACCGAAAAAAACTGTATACCACGTCTCCTCAAAAGCAGAAACACCAGTTGCCGACACAATTTAACCAATGATTATGCTAAAGAACTGATCACTACCGACATCCTGTTCCTTACCAACTTCGAAGGCTCTATAAAACTCTAGGAGGACAAAAAAACCTCAACTGCACTTATTTAATTCAACTTCACAATCATTACCACCAGTCCTAATGAATGTAACTACCGAAAGTTTCGTTTTTATACTCTCCACCATACTATGGGGGTATATTAACTTTGTCATTCCGTTTGTAGCTCCTCGAAGTATTCATGCCAGACTCAACAAAGTATATATATTCTTGATCAGCGTAAAATTCTAAGTCGATTTAGCCATGTCCGTCAGTCTGTCTGTTGTAATCACGCTATCTTTCAAACGAATTGAGATAAAAGGCTAAATTTTTGCACACATGTTTATTTTTCCAGTAGGCAGGTTAAGTTCGCAAATGGGCCATGTAGGTCCACGTTTTCATATAGCCCCCATATAACGGTACCTCCCGATATTCGGTATTTTGATGATTTTAGCGAAATTATTCAACGGAATTGTTTCAAATTTGGTATTTGAAGTTCGAAATGGATACTACAGCCTAAGACAGAAAACTGTCTGTGCAGGTTCACGTCTTCGTATAGCCCCCATATATCTGTACCACCCTATATTCGGTATTTTGATGATTTTAGCGACATTATTAACCGAAATTGTTTCAACTTTGGTATTTGAAGTTCGTAATGGATACTACAGCCTAAGACAGAAAATTGTCTGTGAGGGTCTACGGCTTCGTATAGCTCCCATATAACGGTATCTCCCTATATACGGTATTTTGATGATTTTAGCGTCATGATTAACCGGAATTGTTTCACATTGCGTATTTAGAGCTCGTAATGGGAAC